CTGTCGATCCTCTAGTCTGCTGTTGGAACTCTGCATAATATCCTTTATTTTAGTCAGTGTATGCTTAATTTCTAGTTAGTCCTTTTTCATAACCTTGAGGGTCTCACTAGATTTCTTGAGGACCTCACTAAATTTACCTGCGGCTTCTAGAAAATTCTTGAAAAACCTTATAAGTGTGGTTTTGAACTCTATATCCAGTAGTTTGCTTTCCTCCATTTCTGTCATTTGTGACCTTTTTCTTTGTCTCTGCATTTTGGCTGCTTCCCTGTGTTGGTAGAGTGGCTTTGTGTGCTAGGTGTCCAGTGGCTCAACCTACCCAATTACCTTAGGTGGATACTCTTGTTACACACATTTGTGGGCTTTGTGCACAGTCCTGGTGTAGTTTAGCCTTGATTGTTGTAGGTATCACTGGGAGGAATTGACCTCCAGGCCAATTGGCTGTGAGAATCAGCTGTGTCTACAGTGGGAGAACTTCTGTGCTGGAGAGATCCTTATGGGGCAAGACTTGCTTCAGTGGGGCTTTGGTGCTTTCTGAGTCTGCCCCCTGAATGTGTCCCTTATAGATCTGAGGAGTTGTAATCTGGATGGTCCCACTCTGACCACTGGGTACACTGGCTCTTGGATCTAAGGAGATGTTAATTTAGCCTCTTCCTGAGGCTGCCCGGCAGAAGCTATGAGAGATCTGCAGATTCCTCTTCTTTGTTTGGGGTTCTGGCACTCTTTTTTGATAAAAAGTCTCAGTTAAGTGGGAATAGAGGGATCATACTGCAACATAATAAAGGCCATATATGACAAACTTATAGCCAACATAATATTCAATGGGCAAAACTAAAGTTTTTTCCTTAAAAATAGGAACAAGACAAGGATATCCACTTTCCCCACTGTTATTCAACATACTAGTAGTACTGGAAGTCCTAGCCACAGCAATCAAAGAAGAAAAAAGAAAAGGCATCGAAATTGGAAAGGAGGAAGTTTAACTGTCATTATTCACAGATGACATGATTTTGTACACAGAAATCTCTGAAGACTCCACCAGAAAACTACTAGACTTAATAAATGAATTTGGCAATGTAGCAGGATTCAAAAAACAACAACCAGATATCAAAGGCATTTTTATACAATAATGAACTCTCAGAAAGAGAAACTAAAAAAGCACTCCAACTTATCATTGCAACAACAACAAAAATATGATAGCTAAGAATAAACTTACCCAAGGAAGTAAAAGAACTGCAACTGGAAAACTATACCCAGACTCATCAAGAAACAAGTGCCCAGCCCTAACTGGTTTGGCTCAGTGGATAGAGCATCGGCCTGTGGACTGAAGGGTCCCAGATTCGATTCTGGTCAAGTGCATGTACCTTGGTTGCCAGTACATCCCCAGTAGGGGTTGTGCAGAAGGTAGCTGATCTATATTTCTCTCCCATCAGTGTTTCTAACTCTCTATCCCTCTCCCTTCCTCTCTGTAAAAAAATCAATAAAATATATTTTAAAAAAGAAAAGGAACAAGTGCCCATCTATAGGACATTTAAAAAATAATAGAGGAAGATAAAACTGGAAGTGTATACTATGTTCATGGATTGAAGATGAACATCATTAACATAACTATATTATCCAAAGCAATCTATAGATTCAACCCAATCCCTATTAAAATATCAATCCCATACTTCACAGAGCTAAAACAAATACTCAAAAAATGTATATGGAACCTAAAAAGAACCTTAGTAGCTGCGCCAATTTTGAGAAATAAAAACAAGTAGGAGTGATCACAATTCTGGATATCAAACTATACTACAGAGCCATTATAAGCAGACAGCCTGGTAATGGCACAAGAACAGGCATATAGACTAATGGATTAGAACAGAGACCCCAGAAATTGACTGACATCATTATGGTCAATTAATACTTGACAAAGGAGGCAAAACATAGAATTGTGTGAAGACAGTCTCTTCAACAAATGGTGCTGGGTAAACTGGACAGAATCATGCAAAAAAAATGAAACTAGACCACTAACTTACACCATACAGAAGAATATACTCAGGATGGATAAAAGACTTAAATAGAAAGCATAAAAACATTAAAATCTCAGGGGAGAACATAAGCAGTAAAATCTCAGACATTTCACATAGCAATATGTTTACAGATACCTCTCCTAGGGCAATGGAAACTAAGGAGAAATGAAACAAATGGGACTACATCAAAATAAAAACTTCCACAAAGAAAAATAAATCGCCATCAAAATGATAAGGGAATCCACTCTATGGGAGAACATATTTGCCAAAGATACATCTGATAAGGGACTAATTTCCAAAATACATAAAGTACTCATACAACTCAATAAAAGAAAACAAATAAGTCGATTAAAAAATGGATAAAAGATCTAACTAGACATTTCTCCAAGGAAAAATGGCCAAGAGACATATGAAAATATGCTCAGAGTTACTAATCATCAGATAAATGCAAATTAAAATCACAATGAGATGTCACCTCACACCTGTCTGAATGGCAATCCTCAAAAAGTCCATAAACAAGTCCTGGTGAGGATGTGTAGAAAAGGGAACACTAGTTCACTGCTGTTGTAAATGCAGATTGGTGTAGCCACAATGAAAAACAGTATGAAGTTTCCTCAAAAAATTAAAAATGGAACTTCTGTTTGTCCCAGTGATCCCACTTTTGGGAATATATCTCAAAAACTGCAAAACACCAATCAAAAAGAATATATATCCCTATGTTCATAGCAGTGTTATTTACAATAGCTAAGATTTGGAAACAGATCAAGTGTCCATCAGTAGATGCGTGGATAAAAATGTTGTGGGACATTTACACTATGGAATACTATGCAACTATAAAAAAGAGAATTCTCTTACCCTTTGGACAGCATGGATGGACCTGGAAAACATTATGCTAAGTGAAGTAAGCTAGTCTGAGAAAGACAAATATCACATGATCTCACTTATTTGTGGAATCTAATGAACAAAATGAATTGACCAACAAAATATGACCCAGAACATGGAGGCATGGATCAGACTGACTCACCTTCATCCTTTGGTGGGAGGACAAGAAGAGTTAAACCAAAGAATTTGTATACTTATATGCATAGCCCATGGACTTGGGCAATAGGGTATTGAAGACCTAGGTGGGTGGATAAGGCTGAGAGGAGAGGGTAAAGCAGGGAAAATGGGAGATATCTGTAATACTATGAACAATAAAGAATATATTTTAAAAATTAAAAAAGGAAATGAAAGGTAATATTGGAAAACAAACAAAGAGACAAATCAATTGTTTGAGATGAAAATATTAGTGGTGGAGCCACGTCTTCACTCCACATCTTCTGACTCAAAGTTTGGATGTTTCTTACATTGACATTTACTTGGCCTAATTGGCAGGATTCCAAAGCAGCTCACCAGGACCATCTTGCAAACCTGGATATGGTGCTAGGATCTGGCAAGGGGCCCATTAAACCCCAACCACTCTTCACCATGTCAGGTTTACTAAGGTACCTGACTGTGAATTGACCTCTACTCCTCTAATGTTGTAGAAATTACCAGGCAACTGGAGGACACACACACAGGCACTCAGAAGACTCAGAAAAGTCATTTTATTGCAGGAGCACCGGTGCTGTGGTTCATGGGAATTGGTTTCCAAAGCTGAGCAGCCCAATGCAGTGGGGGTCTGTTTATATAGCCCTAAGTTTCTTTGTCTGCTTTTCGTGGACTTTTGCAGCCCCTATGATAGTTATAAGGGGGAAGTGAGATTACGACCAATGGCCCAGGCTGGTGCCAGCAGTCAGTCTCCTGTGGGGTCTGTGCATGGTTTATGGTCCCTGTAAGATAAGCATTCAGGGAAATAAGTTTTTCAAGGCCAGGACACAAGCTGGAAGGGGGTTGTGGTTTAATTATAGGTTAGCATATGTGTCAGAATGCAGGTTGAGGGGGCATGGAACTCAGTCTTCCAGCCCAACCTGTATTCACACTGATACTCACCTCTGTCTACAGCAGAGATTCAAGACATTTCCAGGACAAGAAGCTACCTGCAATGAGGGCAGACAGCTATCTCAGGATACCAACAAGGTCTTTCATATAGATTTTCCAAGATAACTGTTGAGTATTTGGAAGCTCTGTCTGCTTGGTCCCTAACTAGATCATATCTGTGGCTAAATGGAAGAGCAATCAGCTTGAGAAACTAGTTGAAGTATAGATAATCTGAAATATAGAGAACAGGCAACATGAAAGAAAGATAAGAGGAGACACGGAGAGGCTTTCTGATACCCCCCCACCCCCAAGAGTGCAGTTCCGTAGCGGGGAGGGAGAACAGCTCATAGCAGGGACTTTCAAGGTGTGTAACCAGAGGCAGACCCATCCTATGGGCTCTGGAGACCCCACCTACCAAACTACTAAGCTTCCACTTTGCTGAGCCTCAGACAGGTTGCCAAGAGCCAGGCATGGATACTGACTAATTTTGGCTTGCACCAGAGATCCTCCCAAAAGGCTCATGATGCACAAACTGGTACACAAAGTAGCCAGTTTTGGACAACATTGGAGCAAAATCCAGTGAGCTTCACAAGCAGCATATCCAAAGACATCTGTATAACAGTTTGCATAATGTGATCCGGGTTAAGCTTCACAGTTAGCCAGCCTGAGGGCTGAGCCCACCCACAGTGGGACAACAGCAATCAAGACATAATTACATTAGGAGGGCCCACATAACACACACACACACACACACACACGGAACATTCCTAGAGACTACACCACTGTGACCCACAAGACACCTACTATAGAAGCCCACCCCATCAAGTCCGAGTCATAACAGTTCCAGCCAATACATAGAAACAAACCCAAAGAAACAGCAAATATGAGAAAAAAATAGTCCCTAAATGAAATAACAGGAGGAATCTCCAAAAAAAGAGCTAAATAAAATGGAGGAAAGCAATTTATCAGGAACACAGTACAAGGAAGATTGAAATATCAAGCATCCTCTCAATCACAATGAAATGAAACTAGAAATCAACTACAATAACAAAACTGAAAAACATTCAAATACACTTAGGCTAAATAGTATGTTTTTGAACAATGAATGGGTAACCAATGAAATCAAAAAAGAAATTTTTAAAAAATTCCTGGGAGCAAATGAAAATGAACACATGACAACCCTAAATTTATGGGACTCAGTGAAAACAGTCCTGAGAGGGAAGTTCAAAGCATTACTGGCCTACCTCAAGAAATAAGAAAAAGCTCAAATAAACAATCTAACCTTCCATCTAAAAGAACTACAAACAAATCCCAGAGCAAGTAGAATGAAGGAAATAATAAAGGTCCAAGTGAAAATAAATGATACTCTGGAGTATAACATTAAAAGAACAATACAAAAGATCAATAAAACTGGTTCTATGAAAATATAAACAAGATCGATGGCAAGATATTCTTCTTCTTACTGTTGCATAGTACATTATGGTGTAAATGTACCACAACTTCTTCATCCACTCATTTGCTGATGGGCACTTGGGCTGTTTCCAGATTTTAGCTATTGTAAATTGCACTGCTATGAACATAAGGATACATATATTCTTTTTAATTGGTGTTTTCTTGCCCTTTGAGACAGCATGGAGGGACCTGAAAAGTGTTATGATAAGTGAAATAAGCCAGAAAAAAGACAAGTATCACATGATCTCACTCATATGTGGAATCTAAAGAGCAAAATAAACTGATGAACAAAATAGATCTAGAGATATAGAAACATGGAACAGACCTATGAATCTCAGAGGGAAGGCAGGGGTGGGTAGATGGGAAGAGATAAACCAAAGAACTTATATGCATATATGCATAACTCATGGACACAGACAATGGTGTGGTGAAGGCCTGGGGCAGGAGTTGGGTACAGGCTAGAAGGGTAAATAGGGGATAAAAGGGAACATCTGTAATACTTTCTACAATAAAGATAAATTTAAAAAATAAAAAATATTTATTATAGTAAATAATAAAAATGCAGTTTATTTTAAATCTATAATGCTAGTCTGAGAAAGGAAAGTATCACAGGATCTCACTCATATGTGGAATCTAAAGAGCAAAATAAACTGATGAACAAAATAGATCTAGAGATATAGAAACATGGAACAGACCTATGAATCTCAGAGGGAAGGCAGGGGTGGGTAGATGGGAAGAGATAAACCAAAGAACTTATATGCATATATGCATAACTCATGGACACAGACAATGGTGTGGTGAAGGCCTTCAGCTTGGGACAGGTGTGGGCTGGAAGGGGTCAATGGGGAAAAAGGGGGATATCTGTAATAATTTCAACAATAAATAAATTAAAATGAATATTCTTGAGTGAGGATTGACAAAAAGAATATTAAACATATAGTGTAGTAAAGGCCTAGGAGTAGGGTTATTTGTGCAGGGTGGAAAGGATCAATGGGGACTAAAAGAGGGCATCTGTAATACTTTCAACAATAAAAGCAAAATTTTTAAAAATTCAAGAAACAAAAACAACAAAATGAGATTGATAAACCTTTAGCCAGACTCATAAAGAAACAAAAAGAGAGGACTGAAATAAATACAATCAGAATTGAAAAAAGTCATATGACAACTAATATCACAGAAAAATACTATGAACAAGTATAGCCAATGAAATAGACAACCTGGGTGAAATGGACAAATTCCTAGAAACATGCAATCTTGCAAAACTCAATCAGGAAGAATCAGAAAACCTGGATAGATTGATAACAACTAATGAAATTGAAGCAGTAATCCAAAAACTCCCAGCAAAGAAAATACCTATATCTGATGACTTCACAGGCAAATTTTACCAACATTTCAAGAACTAACACCTCTCCCCTTCAAACTTTTCCAAACTATTCAAGGGGAAGAAAGACTTTCAAGCTTTTTTACGAGGTTAGCTAACATTGTCCTACTTCCAAAACCAGATAAAGACAGTACACAGAAATAAAATTATAGGCTGATATCTCTGATGAACATAGATGTCAAAATCCTCAACAAAATATTAGCAACTTTGATCCAGCAATATATTAAAAAGATCATACACTATGACCAAGGGGGATTTATTGTGGGGATGCAAGGTAAGTAAAATATTTGCAAATCAAAACGTGATACAGCACACAAATGAAATAAAGAATAAAAATAACATGATCATATTGATACAGAAAAGCATTCAACAAAATCCAGCACCCATCCTATATAATAAAAGGCTAATATGCAAATTGACTGAACAGTGGAAAGACTGGTTGCTATGATGCACACTGACCACCAGGGGCAGATGCTCAATGCAGGAGCTGCCTCCTGCTGGTCAGTGCACTCCCACAGGGGGAGTGCCGCTCAGCCAGAAGGCCTGAGCCAGGCTCACAGGTGGCGAGCACAGCAGCAGTGGTGAGAGCCTCTCCCACCTTTATGGCAGCACTAAGGATGTCCAACTTCTGGCTTAGGCCCACTCCCCAGGGAGAGGGGGGGAACGGGCTAAAACTGTCAGTCGGACATCCCCCAAGGGCTCCTGGACTGTGAGAGGGTGCAGACTGGGCTGAGAACCCCCCAAGTGCATGAGTTTCATGCACCGGGCCTCTAGTTTATGATAAAAACTTTCAGCAAACTGGAAATAGAATCATCACACCTCAGTATAATAAAGGCCACATGTGAAAAACTGCAGCCAACATCATACTTATTGGGCAAAAACAAAGTGTTTTCCTTAAGAACAGAAACAAGATAGGGACGTCCTCTTTCACCATTCTTATTTAATACTAGAGGCCTGGTGCATGAAATTTGTGCACTGGGTGTAGACTGGGGGTAGGGGGGGTGGTGGTGGTTCCCTCTCCCAGACTACACCCTCTTCAACCTGGGACCCCTTGGGGGATGTCCTACTGCCAATCAGGCCTAAACTGGCAGTCAGAAATCCCTCTCATAATCCAGGACTGCTAGCTCCTAACCGCTTGCCTGCCTGCCTACCTGATTGCCCTTAACTGCTTCTGCCTGCCAGCCTGATCACCCCCTAACCACTCCCATGCTGGCCTGATTAACACCTAACTACTTCCCCTGCCAGCCTTATGGCCTCCAACTGCTCTCCCCTGCTGGCCTGATCGCCCTTAACTTCCCTACCCTGCCTGCCAATTTGGTTCAGATTGGTTTTTTCCTATGCCAGTCAGTGTCAAAATTTCCACCTCCTAGGATGCCATTGGCTCCTCACAGTTGACCCAGATTTGGTTCTGGTTGGTCAGTTTCTATGCCAGTCAGTGTCTCTGGACCTATCAACAGGGCCTGACCAGAAAGGCGGGGCTGATCAGCAGCCCAGGTGGAGGCCTGGAGAGAAATGGAGGCACAGCTGCTGGAGAGACAGAGAGAGGCAAGTGCTGATCAACAGCTGCCACAGAGGCTATAGATCAGACCTGCTTCTCTCTTCAGGCCTCTCTCTGGGCCTGATTTGCAGCTGCCTCAGCAGTCGGTGCTGGGTCACCACAGCTGGAGCCTCAGCAGTCAGTGCTGGGTCGCTATGGCAACCCAGCACTGACTGCAGGACTGACTTCCAATTGGTTGAGCGACCCACGGTTTTTATATATTAGGATAGTACTGGAAGTCCTTGCCACAGTGATTAGGCAAGATGAAAAAATAAAAGGCATCCAAAATGGAAAAGAGGAAGTAAATCATCATTATTCGCAGATGACATGATATTATACATAGAAAACCCTAAGAACTCCACCAAAAAACTGTCAGATGTAATAAATAAATACAGCAAAGTAATAGGATACAAAATTAATATCCAGAAATCAATGGCATTTTGATACTCCAAAAATGAGTTCTCATAAAGAGAAACTAAGAAAATTATCCCATTTACCATTGCAAAAACAACAGAAATAAGTACCTATAATAAACTTAATCAAGGAGTTAAAAGACCTATACTTAGCAAACTATAGGACATTTAAATATCAAATAGAGGAAGATACTACAAGTAGAAGCCTATGCCGGGTTCATGGATTAGAAGAATTAACATCAGTCAATTGTCCATATTACCCAAATTCAATTTAATCCTTATTAAAATATCAAGGGCATATTTCACAGATCTAGAATAAATATTCAAAAAATGAATATGGAACCAATAAAGATCCCGAATAGCCTAAGGATTCTTAAGAAGGAAGAACAAATTTGGAGGGATCACAATACAGGATATCAAACTATGTTACAATGCCATTGTAATAAAAACAGCCTGGTACTAGCATAAGAACAGGCTTATAGATCAATGGAACCAAACAGAGAGCCCTGATGTCAACCCATGCCATTTTGGTCAATTAATATTTGACACAGGAGGCAAGACCATACAATGGAGTAAAGACAGTCTCTTCAATAAATGGTGCTGGGAAAACTGGACAGATACATGCAAAAAAATGAAACTATGTGACCAACTTATGCCACACACAAGAATAAACTCAACATGGATAAACTATTTAAATGTAAGTCACAAAACCATTAAAATTCTAGAAGAAAACATAAGCATCTGGCATATTTTTGCCATTATATCTCCTAGGATAAAGGATGCAAAAGAAAAATAAACAAATGGGACTAAATATGACTAAAAAGCTTCTGCACCAAACACGATCAACAAAATGAAAAGAGAAATTACTTTGTGGCAGATCATATTTGCCAATGTTACATGTGATAAGGGGTTAACATCCAAAATATATAAAAACTTATATGACTCAACACCAATGCAATTAAAAAATGGGCAAAGGGAGGATCCAAGATGGCTGTCATTGGGATGGCAGGCTGCTAGATAGTGTGAGAGTGAGAGAATGGAAGGAGAGAGAAACCAAGATGGCAGCTTAGGTAAACACCGGAAATGGCTGCTACATAACCATTTCAAAAATACAACTAAAAGGCAAACCAGACAGCATCCAGAACCACAGGAATGCTGGCTGAGTGGAAATTCTACAACTAGAAGGAAAGGGAAAAGCACACTGAGACTCAGAGGAGGTGTGGAAGTAAAGTGCAGAGGTATGGAGGTGCATGTGGAAAGGGCTGGCAACTGAGGAGGTGGTTGTCTTTTTCAATCGGAAGGGAGTCTCATGCTCCTGACTGCTCTGAACTCCAGTTCCAGTGAGTCTCTGGGGACCCAGACTCATACAGGGAGAAACTAGACTGTCTGGCATCGGGTGGAAGCCCTATTGATCCCCTGAGTCCCCGCCCCAACCAAACTGTGCACAGAGGCTTTTGCATATGAAAGGCCTAGCCCATTGCAATCTGAAAATTACCTAACAAACTGAAGCTGGGTCAGAAAGATCCAGAACTTCCAAAAGAGGACCCAAGGCCCCACAGCAGCTGGCATTACTTCAAAACTGGGCCACATCTGGGCACCATCAAACCCCAAACAAAGAAGAGGAATCTGCAGATCTCTCCATAGCTCCTGCTGGGTAGCCTCAGGAAGAGGCTAAATTAGCAACTCCTTAGAGATCCAAGTGCCAGTATAACCAGTGGTCAAAGTGGGACTATCCAGATTACAACTCCTCAGATCCATAAGGGACACACTCAGGGGGCAGATTCAGTGAGCACCACAGCCCATTGAAGCAAGTCTTGCCCCAGAGGGGTGTCTCCATCACAGAAGTTCTCCCACTGTAGACACAGCTGATTCTCACAGCCAGTTGG